CGGTGCAGTGCTCTACCAACTGAGCTATCAAGCCAACTGGGAGCTGGTCACATTGTGCTGGTCACAACTGCTTAAGTTGTGTGTATAACTGCAATGATCAATCATGTCTTGAAACTATGTCTATATCTTTATGCCTAAAACCTCACCACAAAGTTAAAAAACTCAAATCAAAACTCTTGCTAATCCTGTGTTAGCTTAATGAGGCTTTGAACAACCTGGTCCTGTTACGTATTTATATGGTGATGACAATGCTGGTTGTGTTTTCCTTGTGCTGCAAAAGGTACATATGTACACACTGTAAGTAGGAATCTGTTCTCCATATCAAGATCTCACTTGTCTGCCAGAAGTAACTTACTCATGAATAATTTGTGTATGTAAGAAGAAATTAGGTGTTGCTCACTCTTGAAAACATTATGATGTTCAATTTTATTTTTTTCTTGAATGTGTCAATTGATATGGATTTTTTTAACTGCACACAGGTTCTCTTACTGGAGGCCAGAGGATTACTATCGAGGTACAATCAAGCAAGAATGTGGCAGCTGTAACTGTGGATGGGACGAAAGTAAGACTTACATTCAGGCTTGTAGCCAGATGGGTGTCCAGGCATCCTGTGGATGGCCACTTTATAGAGAAAATTGTTTTATTTTTCATATGTTGCCAGATAAATTGTTCATTTGAGCAGGCCCTATAGCACGTTTTGGACACCCACTTTTCAAATCCTGCCTAAAAGCTGCTTACATTATGTGTATTAACTGTACTGTACATGTACGGTTGAACCCTGCCATTGTGAAGTCTCAGGGGAAGCGAAAAATAGTTTGAAATAGCAAAAGTTCAAAATAGCCGTTAGTAAATGACTGAAGGGCAAATCCAAGGAAAATGGTTTTGAGCTCAAAATTATGAGGAATTCAAGAAAACCGAGTTCGAATTAGCAGGTTTCAACTGTATACTCTTCATCATCAAAATATTCCGGGTTGATCCATAGTACATTGTGCAACCAATACCTGGGTAAAGTGCATGTTATTTCCTTTGCTTCACATGAGACAAAGGAAAAATGCAGATCAAACTTTGATGAGCCAAAACTCTTTAATCTATACATATGTTTAGGGGAGCTTACAGTTGTACATGAATTATACTTATCATTAGAAATTTTAAACATTTGGTTATAGCTCATGAGATTGCCCTCTTTTCCAGAAATTCTGGAAAATGCTATTCCATTTGCCAGTGGAAATTTCTGGAAATGCAAACCAGGATTTTTTGTCAAATGAAAAGTGTTCTTAAGTTTGGATGTCACTTTTTGTAGTCTCCACCTCAGCAATTTAGGCCCCTTACTGTACTGAAGGTGATAAGATTTTTATTTTGTCGTCAGGTGTTAGAGGCTACTGAGGAACAAACCAGAGGTGTGAATGTCGCAGTCCTCAACCAAATGACAGGTGCTGTCATGGCGACAAGATCTTTTGATACTTTTGCAAGTAAAGAAGATTCAGACGCTCTTGTTCTGTTTGTCAACATGGTTTCCGATGGAAGAATTCTCTGCTTTGCCATAAGGGTGAGTTATGTATCTTAATTTACAGAGATTCTTTATTGTAATGGGGTTGATATACTATGAGTAATTAGTATACATGTAAATCTACTAGCGTTCTATCGTGAATGCCATTCTCTGACTGGGTATGCTACATCACTATCTACTCTGTTATAGAAAGTGAGTAGCCCAGCTGTGTGCCCTTGTTAACAAACTGGCAGCCGCTTCTTTGCATTTTTGAAGTGTCTGTGAAGATGAGAAGATTTATACTAAAACAATAACATCATTTGCTCTTGATTTCTCTGAGTGATAGTTGACTCAGGCTGCACCCTTGTCAACCCTGATCAACAATAGAAATCTTGAGCCTATAATCCAGTTTTTGAGTAGAAAAATGGAGCTACAATGTACCTTGTTTGTTTGTCCAGTTTATCATGTCAGATAATATTTAAAGTTACATTAAATTTGCAACATACATCTGTACAAAATTAATTTTAAAAGAAAGTTTTTAAAGTTTTATCTTGCTTGTTTTAAAAGATAATGTTTGCAAGTTTGTTGATGATAATTCAGTGTCTATTGATAATCCCTGCATTTTAGTACTGCAGTCATTTCATCTATGTGGTTACCACACCCCTTTGTCAAAATTATAAATATATTTATGTCAGCAAGGTCAAGGAAATGACCCATGTTTCATACAGTATGTCATGAAAAAAAAGGTATGGCACATTAACATACCTGTAGTTTAATAAAATAATTTTACCCCTCACCAAATTACTTACAGTCATCTTTGGTGATCTTTCCACAGGACGAAGGAACATATCAACTAAAGAAGACAGCACGTAATCTTATGAGCACGCTTGGTAGTGAAAACTTTAAGAACCTAAACTTTAGAGATACCTGGGCCTTTGTGGTGCAAAAACGAGGGGCTGTTAGTGCAGAGGGACACAGAAAGGCCCCTGATTTTGACTCGTGGGCTGAGCCCCTAACAATCCAGGCCTTAGTGACATTACAGTCCAAAGACACTGCATCTTGTTCATGGGATGATAGTGACACAACAAGGAGAAGAAGGGAGTTCTGCGAGAAGTTTGAAGGATATGGCAGTGTGTGCAGCTGTAAGTGGTGTAAACTCACTGACTGACTGACTGACTGACTGACTGACTAATGGACTAATAGACTGACTGACAGATGAACAAACCACAGGCGGCTTAAGTTCTTCTTCATAAGAAAAACGTTCCTCTGGATGGTCAAACCGGGCGGGCAAATTCAACCTCGCAGCTAATCAATTTGCTTAGGTGGCATCCCTTACTGAATTCCCTGTGAAATGGACAGACTGGCTCACTCAACTACCAAACTAACAAAGTTTTGGGACACAGCGAATTTATCCTCTTTTTGATAATTTTCTTTATTAGATCATAACTTCTCTGTTTGATACTGTATTAAAATTGTAAGGACAAATCAGATATTACTCCTACCTCAGTCTACAGTCTATGCATCATTGCAACTAACACAACATTAAATTTAAAATCTTTGCATTTTTTCCAGGTTCAAACCCTGCTCCGCTGGACATAAAGTCAGACCTTTTACCTAACGGAGAGAAAATGACTCTGCCAGTCGCCATCATAGCCAGCAACAGACCGAACTACCTATATCGCATGATCCGTTCCGTTCTGTCTGCCCAGGGAGCAGACCCTAGCAAAATTACCGTCTTCATTGATGGATATTTTGAAGAGCCTTTGGCTGTCGCCCGGTTGTTCGGTATCAGAGGGATCCAGCATACCCCTGTCAGTAGCAAAAATGCAAGAATATCTCAGGTGATTTGGCGGGGAAGGGTAGAGGTTAAAGTGTGCTTTTGTACAGCAGGAAAAAAACGTCAGTTGCATACCCCTGTGGAAAATAAGAATTCATGCAGGCGATGTAGGGGAAGGTGGAGGTTTAGGTTTGTATTTCCATTGTCTAGAGGATATCACTGGCTCTCTGGGGATATTTCAGTGTGTTTACATGTAAATTCAGTGATTGGTTGCGATAAGATCTTTGCTGACATCATGGTTTACATTTTTCCTCGTTAATAGAGAAGGCATCACGCTAGACACAAATATATTGGAAACATTTATAGAGCTTGTGAAACTTAGTAATTGGTGAAATTTTCGTTTCTTTGGGCCCGTGTAATATCTTTGGGTGTAAAGTAGTCAATGTACCGGGCTCAAATTCCTTGGGACAGTTAATCGTACTGTGACGTGCCCTTTTAATATTCAAAACTAATGTTTTGGTAGCTCCATCACATAGTGTATCGCTTATGCTAACTAGGCAAATATTGTAAACCAAGATTCTCTGATAGAGTTAAGATCTCAGCGACTGGAGTCTAGTGGTCTTAAACTTTACTGACATTACTTCTGTATGTGAATGCACTTTAAAATAAATTTACATTGTCTTCTTTTCGTATTCACAGCATTACAAAGCTAGTTTAACCACGACCTTCAATTTGTATCCCGATGCCAATTTCATGATCATACTGGAGGAAGATTTAGATGTGTCCACTGATATATTCTGGTATTTTCATCAGCTGTTACCACTTCTTAAGGAGGACGAAAGCTTATATTGTGTATCGGCATGGAATGATCAGGTTAGCGTATCTCAAATTGAAAAATCCCCCCTCCCATCCTCAGGCAAGAACCTCCACCTTTACTCTGTTCCTGTTCCTTGCCGTTCTAACAACGGGTGCATCTTCGCTCCCTCCCCCGTTCTGAACACTTCTTAATTCACTGGTGTTTGTGACTACAGTCTAACCTCAACTAACGGCCACCTCTCTATATATAACGGCCACATTTTTTGTCCCGGAGGACAGTCCATACATTCTCTCTTATTTTAACCTCTCTACAACGACCACCTCTCCACAACGACAACGGCCAATAAAATGCGTCCGAACTGCGAAAATAACCTTTCGATAACGGCCAATTAATCAACGACTGACGAACAACGCATAAAAAAACCCCTTTTATTGTTAAAGGTCACAAACTTTATCCATACCGCATGTCGTTGGTCTCTGTCTCTCTGTGGTTTCTGTTTTATTGATATCTTTTGATTGTGTTACGTATTTAGATGCTACAATGAGCATTTTTTTTAAGATAAAAATGTTCCACCCCTGAAAAAATACAAGTGTCATATTACACTCCTACCTCCCCATAACCGCCACCTCTCTACAGCGGCCACTTTCATCTGTTCCAGGGTGGCCTTTGTGGAGAGGTTTGACTGTATGTTGTATCAAAATAACTCATTCAAGTTGAAAGGGAGATTTTCCACGTGATGAGCGTTTTTTTATCAAAGCGCACTCCCATAGCATACATGTAAGTTTCAGACATCCCAAACTGTGCCCTCTGGTTAAAAGGACACGCGGCAAGTAAACACAAGATCGAAAAACACTCTAAATATTAGCTGAGTAAACGGCCTGAAAGGCATTGTCGTGAAAACTGTTCCTTGAATAACCCTTCTTTCCGAGTTGCAACATAAAACTCTGGGATACAGTTGAAATGCAAAGATGGATGCCACGAAAAAATGTTGTTGTTGTGTAAGCCTTGTGTTAGGCGAATGTGATCTACTATTTGATGACAGCTTTGTTGTCTGTTATGTTTCTGGCAATGTAAAATGAAAACGTTGTGTAACTGCTCATCTGACTTGTAACGGCTGCATGTGCAGAGTTGGGAGAAGTTTAGAAATGCTTAATTCTTGTTTTTCAGGGATATGAACACACAGTTGGTGACCCAGCATTGCTGTACCGAATAGAAACCATGCCAGGACTTGGTTGGTGAGGGGTTTTTTTTTTATATAAAACACAAATGGAAAACGTAGTGAATTCTTATTGGTTTTAGCAAAGGGTATTATTCGTAAATGAGCAACATAAGACTCGCGGAGGACTTCTGTAGGCCACAACAGCCACTACAATATTTTCCGAAGATAAACCGAAGTCTTACGACTATTTGCGAAGATTGCCGAAGGTTTTCCGAAGATAACCCGAGGACTTCCGAAGGACTTCCGACTTTCGAACGTTGTCGATAGGTCAGGAAGTGTTTCCGTTAGACTTCGAAGATTGCCGGCGCAGATCACCCGCAAAGTCCTGATCACACCAAGTTTGTCTATATAATAACAAGAAAATTACACGGTGACTTGAAGAAGTGACATATTTTCTCGTGTTGAAAACAATAATTTACTCACTCGCTACGCTCGCTGGTAAAATATTGTTTTTATGACCCGAAAATAAAATTCAGATCTCTGCCCAACCGTGTAATAACCTCTGTTTTTTTTTTTACTACAGGGTTTTAAAGCGTAAAATGTACAAAGAAGAACTAGAACCAAAATGGCCGACACCAGACAAGTTCTGGGATTGGGATATGTGGATGAGACTACCCGAGAACAGACTGGACAGGGAGTGTATAATTCCCGATATCTCACGCACTTATCACTTTGGATCAAAAGGACTCAATATGCATCCGTACTTTCAAGAAATGTACTTCAAGAAACACGCGCTGAACACAGAACAAAATGTCAAGTTTGACGTGGAAATAATGAGGAAAGAGAACTACGAGAAAGAGATTCAGCGCTTACTAAGGTTAGTATTAAATTCTTCCTACTAATTACCATATGTTTCATTATGCGGTAGTTTTGAGAGTTTGGAGGTACATGAAGACAATCAGTTGATGATTTTATTTATTTGCCATTGCGTTTCTGCGTGATCAAGTGTTAATATTATTTGGAGAAATTTGGTTTCTTCGAGCCCAGAAAAGATAACTGAACAAGACTTAAACAAATTTGTAAGTGACGTTTCATTCAATTTGCGCATACAATAGCGAGAGGTATGGTGGCCGAATACTTAGTGCGCTGAACGCCGGCTTTCGCGGTTCAGGTGCGAGCCCTGGCCAGAACATTGTCTTGTATACTTGGGTAAGGTAGACAGCTAACCCTCTCTGTGACACTGTCTACAAATGTAATATAGCATGTAATAGAAACGTGATTGGGTAACGGACTAAATGCTGCTGGGGGGTGAACATGGGGGAGTAGAAATACCTCCTGCCGCTTCATGCTAGGAAAACAGCAATCAAAGCCACGTACGTCTGAAATACTTGGAGCGGTTTTCTCGTAGGTGGTGAAACGAAAAATAATTGGTTTTGCATTACTACGCAACACGATTGGTTTAAAAACTCGCGCCACTTCTTCATCCAATCAGAAGTAAAACCAAAACCAATCGTGCCTCGCTTACACGTTTTCCCGCGTTTTGCGTCAGCTACATGTATCTACTTCGAGTTTTGATTGGATCATTGGATTTTCTGCTTTCCTTGTGATTGGTAGAATGATTACTTTGGTTTTGGCCTTGAGTGAAGACTCTCAACTGAAAACCACTCTTAGGCAAAGACATCCAGAACGGAATGACTAAATACTAAAGTCGTCTTCCTTTGGTCTTCACAGCTCATCAAAAACGCTGGATCACTCTCAAAATCCTTGCACGAGTGAGGCGTTCGTTCCCGACGAAAAAGCCAAAAACTTTATATTTTACATCAAAATGGACCACCCAACTGACTGGGTCACGTGGAACGGCTTAGCTAAATGTCTCAAGATATGGGACTTGGATGTGCGAGGCTTCCACAAAAGCATGTGGCGTTTATGGATCAAGGGAAACCATGTTTTGATTGTGGGCTGCCCAGCGTCTCCGTACTGCAGCCATAAACCGGCGGAAGTGACACCTATCTTTATACCTAAAAAAGAAGATGAGCAGTCATAGTATTTGAACTGCGGTTTTCAGGTGGCTTTCAGAAATAGTTTTCTACTAGCGTTAGTTCTGCCTGAGCTCTTTTATTGAATATAATCATGCCGTATGTTCTGAACCAATCAGAATG